AAAAAAAAAAAAAAAAAACAAAAACAAAAACAATATATGAAGAAATAGTACTAAATGATGTTAAAAAAGTATTTGAAAATCTAACATAAAAAAAAAAAAAGATACATAAATTAACATATACGCTAGACACACATTGGCGACGATTAGTACCGATGTCCTGCATAAAAAAGCGAGACACCACAAAGCGAGTGAAAATCCATGAATATATCTTAAGCTGGTAGCATTTATGATGTTACTCGTATTTTTATTTCATTTACAGTGTCTTTTTAGTAGTTGCCCCTGCATAGCATCCTAGCTGTAAGTCTTATATTTCCTCACTTGTGCCTGAAGTCATACACCAATAAACAGATTTATCAACATTGAGTAAAAAAGAGCACATATGCCCATAGTATAACCATAAATAACAGAAATTCTATTACACCTAATGATAGCTCCCTTGTGTGCCTTATCTAATATTGTATACCCATAATATTACTCTGACTGATGATTCTCTGTTTTCACTTTATGCGTAAATTACCCAGACGAGGGTTTTTTCTTTTTATATTTTTTCCCTGGTGCAGTTACATGGGTATTATTCAATTTCTGACTTAAATCACTGTCCACTGTGCTACTACCTGGTACAACGCTTCCCAATTCTTCATTCTTAGACGTATCCATTTTTCTATCATTCGACCTATCCTTCGACTTCGCTTCCTTCGATTCACCATGTTTTTTATAATTCGATGAGTTATTTTTTAATGATACACTACTCACTGTCGAATTTTCCCCATTCCTTGCACTCTTCGTTTCTGCTCTATACGCTTTTTCCTCAACATTGATATTACCGTCTATTGAATTCTTTTGCACTTCCGTGATCTCAGGTGGTTTCGTCTTGCTTCCCTTTTTCTTCCTATGATTCCTATTATTCTTCGCACTAGCATTCAGATCAGCGTCCGATGCGTTTTTTTTTGTCCCAGTATTTTGTTCCTGCAACTTTTCATTACTTCCACTTTTAACATTGTTCTTTTTATTCCTCTTGGAATCCAGATGTAGTTTACTACCGGAACTTCCTTTTTTCTTACCTGCACTGTGCACATCAGAATTTTCCGTTTTCCCCGTTTCTTTATTCTCTGGCCTACCGACCACAGAGTCAACATGCTCTTTGGTCCCAGATGTATTTTTTTTTAAGCTAGAATTATATATATCTTTTATACTTCCATTTCCCATTACTGACTCTTCTGTCTTATCCTTTTCTGTTTTAACATTCACTTTGGTCCCAGATGTATTTTTCTTTAAGCTAGAATTATACAAATCGTTTAAACTTCCATTTCCCATTACTGACTCTTCTGTCTTATCCTTTTCTGTTTTAACATTCACTTTGGTCCCAGATGTATTTTT